TGCCACTCTGTCCACTACTTAAGAATAAAGACAAGTGAGCAGCGCATACAGAGTGATTCAAAGTCCTATGACCAAACCTTAAGAGACTGCTAGGAAGGTCATTTTGAGAAGAAAATGTAAACAAATGTGTGAATAAGACATGTCAAAGGATGATATTGTAGTAGTCTGTGCTGGATCCAATGACATCAGTAAAAATAATGCAAAGGAAGGATTAAAAAACATAATTAACTTTGTAAAAAGAACCAGTCACACCAACATCATAGTCATGAAAGCACTACACAGACATGATTTAATCAACTGGTCACGTGTAAACAAAGGGATTAAACTATTTAACAGACTTCTAATACAAAGACTGAAACTATACAAACAGGTGTCAATTAGTAGTCTAAATCTTGACAGAAAACATTTTACAAGACATTGGCTGCACATGAACTATGAAAGAAAAGAAAAAATGTGCCAGAAAATAGCAGAATTGGTTCAGCGAAAGTTTGGGACAGTGGTTAAAGCTTTTCCAGTTAACGCTATTCCACTAAAATACAAAGAAGACACAGTCCATGAAGAGGCTACTCAACTAGAATACAAAGAAGACACTATCCATGAGGAGGCTGCAGAAACCCAGGGGAACGAAACAGAGAAAACTAGCAGACCCATCCCTTAACCGTGCGGTGCTATTTGAAAGATATCAATAGCAAGTGTGTATGTCAACCAGACAAAGGAGGGCCCCCAGTAAAGCTAAGTAAAGATTTTTATAGATAAACAGATAGATATGTTAACAGATGATGGAAGGTGTGCGTGTGAAATTAAATCTATGATTGCCAAGGCAAAAGCTGCATTTAGCAAGAAAAAGAATCTTTTTGTAAGATTTGAGGCTAAAAGAATCTTTTTACCAGCAAATTGGACTTAAATTTGAGAAAGAAACTAGAGAAATGCTACATTTGGAGCATGGCTTTGTATGGGGCTGACACTTGGACACTTGGGGTAGTAGATCAGAAACACCTGGAAAGCTTCGAAATGTGGTGTTGGAGAATGATGGAGAAGATCAGTTGGACC